TTCTGAATGCACTGTATCTACTGCTGTACATAGTCTTAGTGTATATATATATATTCTTTATATATGCATAGATTGCATTTGGATTATTGACAGTGTTATTTGGGTTGTGAACTGGACAGTTGTAATTACTTGTTTTTAATCATTTGTGTACTGTTTGACATTTTGACTGCATTGTTAGGAGCTAATAATACAAGCATTTTGCTGCACCCGCTATGACATCTGCTAAACCGTGTACGCGATAAATACACTTGGTTTTGAAAAAGGGTGGTCTTGGTCCGATTCCATTCGTACCGTGGTGCGTTTCACTGCAGATGAGAAAGCAGTCCAGACCAAACACAGGAAAGGAACCAGAGGCGCGAAGTATTATTGGTTGTTTGACTGCGAGCATTTGATGAAATGCACGCAATACCAAAACTTTATATCGCTGCAACATTCTGTGAGAAGCAGCACATTTATGCGTCATCCAGGGTAGGGGAGGGAATGGCTGGCAGGGATGTAGCTCAGTTGGTAGAGCATGGCGTTTGCAACGCCAGGGTTGTGCGTTCGATTCCCACGGGGTCCAGCATGAAAAATTAAATAAAAATAATGTATGCACTCACTAACTGTAAGTCGCTCTGGATAAGAGCGTCTGCTAAAATGACTAAAATGTAAATATATTAGAATGAGCTAAATGAAAATACAGGATATGAATACACAGTGTGAAACTGTGCAGTGTTTAATGTCTCTATATACATGGGACAGCAGCGTTGGCTATGTGTGTTTGAGTATGGGCGTGAGTGCGAGTACACACGCTGTATGAGGTGTGTGTGAGTGAGTATCTTTTACAGTACTACTTTGGAGTAATACTTACTACTGGAGATGGCCTAATGGCTGTTCAACAGTCTGCTGGCCTGGAGATGGAAGCTGTTTTTCAGTCTTTCGGAATGAGCTTTCATGCACCTGTACGGTCTCTTTTTGAGCAAACCCACAGTGTGTTGTTTAGTGCGCTCCCGAGTGCGGAAAGAGTGTTCACACCAGTCCAAACGAACCAAACTATCGGGGAAATGCTCCAGAGTTTGGAAAAAATCTCTCCAAACCAATTTGGTGTGAAAGCCCCCGTAGAATAGATATTGGGACAGGGAGCTCAGCTGACTTGGGTGGCTGGCAGGCTGCATTCATATCTATCTATCTATCCATCCATCTATCTATCCAGGTAGAGAAGAATAAGGCTTTTAATTCTGGGCTTCTGTTTCACATAAAGGCCTACTTCTCTATCCCCCTGAGTGTAATCGTTTAAGAGCTATCGTCTCAAATGGCCATGGCTGGCATCTGGCTACACACTCCGCCGGGGAGATCCAAAGTTTTATAGCTTGTTTTCAGTCTGTAATGATAATGGGCAATCAATGGTGCATCCATAAGTGATAATGCCAGGAAAGCTGTGGCCAAACCACTGCTTCGAGGGCATCATCACATTTATACATTGGTGACCAACATATTAAAATAATGATTTGACATTTTCATTAAGCGTTATTTTCTTTAATTTATTCATTTTATTTCATCCTTCCATGCATAGTCACATGAAGATTTTATGAGTAGGGGGAGCTGGGGGGAAAAAATCTCCTTTTATAATAAAGCATTTGGAAGCTAATGATGAAATTAAATTCCTAATGTGGTGAGTAGGCCTAAGCATAGGACAAGTTTCAGTAACAGTAGTCACTGCAGCCTAAGATATTTTAACTCATGACTGTTTGAAAAACCAAGTAGACCGTTGTGAACAGAGCGCACATTTCTTTGTACAGCGTAATTACAATGGGTGTGTGAGTGAACGAGAGGAGTGTTGTAACTAAATTAGGAAAAAGATTGTAGTGTTGCACGGTATACAGAAACGATGTACTTTGTCAAAAAATAAAATAAAAACTGTTCGATACAAGAATTTGTTACCTTCGTTTGGTATTTCTGTCAAATGTTTCTTGAGTGATTGAGCAGATCAAGTCTCAGTGAAGCCACTCTTCGCACTATAAAAGGAAGTGCCTGCTCCACTTACTGATTCATTGCTAGAGCTGGCTGGGCTGCATTGTTAGCTCCCCACTCATACTGCACAAAGTTAAGGTAGAGCACAGAGCTTGTAACGCCAGGGTAGTGGGTTCGATCCCCGGGACCACCCATACGTAAAAATGTATGCGCGCATGACTGTAAGTTGCTTTGGATAAAAGCGTCTGCTAAATGGCTTATTATTATTAAACTTGAATAATGCAACACGACATGTAGAAACTGTTCATTACTGTTTGCAAAACAATGCCCATACAGGCTAGAAGTTGCACTTTACAATGCAAGACTGTAGCGGTAGCTTCCTGCTTTAATTGTAGGCTAACTTTCCTTGCTAGCATACAGCTGATTTCACTACCCTAGTAACGCAAAATATGCTATATTTTCTGAGCTGATTGTGACCGACAAGGTTATTAATTCACTTTGTCTTCCTCTCCTCCCATCTTGTTTCCACTAGATTCCAAAGCCAAAAGGTCAGATTCCACAACTACATTCTGCCTTGTGAACTTTCTTAAGAAACAGCGCACACTTTCATAAAAGAGATTGCGTCTTCTATGCAAAATAAATGATGTACTTTGAGATTTTTTTGTTGTTCAGTCATGTTACCTTATTGGCTAGCTAGCTAACAACCTGGTAACCAGTATATCCAAACATTTTGAGGCACAGAAAGAAAAAGGATAGCTTCTTCAGGAGATAAATTAATTAATGATGGATCTCTTGCATGTCGTTATCACAAATTTACATTTTTAGAGACTACAATTTTGAATGTAATGTGTCTCAATAGGAAAATAGTGCTTTTACACAATGTAGAAGCCTAATGTTCCACAAATGACTTTGTAATTTCAATGACTGTTATTCGTATCAACATCTTAGCTTTTTTAATAAACTGAAGTGCTGAAGTTTCATATGTGCTTCAAAAGTAGCTAGAATTCATAGGCTGTATCTCAGTCAATAAAAATAAAAAATCGTCTTTGCTGGTGCTCCTAAATTTCATGTGGTGCGCCTAACTTTTTAAGTTGAGCGCACCAGTGCTACCAATTAAATTAATTTAGAGCCCTGTCTGTGTCTACAGGAGAATGTCAGGCCATCGGTCTGTAAGCTGAAGCGCAGCTGTGTCACGCAGCAAGACAATGATCCAAAACACACAAGCAAATCTACATCAGAATGGCTGAAAAGCAACTAATGTCAAGTTTTGGAATGGCCTAGTCGAAGTCCAACGGTTTTATCACCTAGGACCTCCCATGTTCTCCCTCCCTCCCTGCCAGACCTGTTGTGGTAGGCGCTGAAACGAGCAGTTCGTACTCCGTTCATACGCAGTTCTGCATAGAGTAGGCCAAAATTCCTCCACGACGATGTTGCAGTCATTGCAGCTAAAGGTGTCAAAACCAGTTATTGAGTGTAAGGTGGCAAATACTTTTTCACACAGGGCTATTGGGTGTTGCGTAACTTTTGTTTATTAAATAAATGAACTAAGTATCCAGTTTTTATTTGTTCACTCGGGTTCCCTTTATCTAATATTAGGTTTTGGTAGACAATCTGGTATGCAGTGTAAAAAATATGCACAAATAGAGAATCAGAAATGGGGCAAATACTTTTTCACGGCATTGTAGCTGTCGGCACCAGTGACAGCAGTTAGGTTGGCTATGACATTGTATGTACGCTTGTAAAATAGCAAGGGCAGTTCCATGTTGCCTTGTGAGAATCTCACACATTCCCCACATAATGGCAGATTCCCTGGAATGGTGACTAGATCTTCCTTCTGTCGTTATGTATTAGGGCTGGGAATTGCCTGGGACCTCACGATACGACATTATCAAGATACTTGGGTGCCGATACGATATGTATTCCGATTCGATACTGTGATTTTATTGTGGTTTGATGTTCCGAACATATTGCTCACCATATGTCTGCTGCAGAAAGACGAGGGAGCATGAGAAAATGAGTTTTGATCAGTCATGGAAATAAGTGCTGAAAACAAATGATATATCGTCAAAAATAATATTCCGATATGTAGCTATCAAAAAATGTATATATTCTTCCGCCATCACTATCATTTTATGTATGGGATTTCGACATACTGCAGCTGCTATGCTCCCTCTCCCTCCATGTGGGAAGAGAAGTGATAAATCACACAGGAATTCCAACGGCTTTATCAGCTAGGACCTCCCCCCTCTTCCTCCCATGTTTTCCCTCCTTTCCTCCCTGCCACCTCTGAGAGAATCCTGGGGAGCTGAGGGAGGGAGGGTGCTAGATGGGGTACCGTGAGGCTGTCTGGCTCCTCTCCTATGTGTTAGAGCTGTGAAGGTCTCCGGTGTATGGTACAGTAACACTCCTCACTAACACAGTGGCAGATGAATGCACACAGAGGTGGGGATAGCACGGCATAAGCATAGCAGTGATCACAAAGGGCTATGTAGTCAGTCAGCAGTATGTCTCCATTCCACCCAATAGCATAGTTGTTGTAATGCAAAGGCATACCAAGATGGAGTTAATGGTTTGGGTTGTGGTCTTGTGGGTGTGGCCTTACTGGTGGATTTTGATGGGACATGGGAGGGTCCTGAGGCGGGAGCTCATGGATCCACGGGTGTGCTAGCAGTCTTAAGACCGAGGGATAGTCCTAGTGGGTGTGCTTTGCCGAGGGTGAGTTTGAGCCGGATTCAGAGGTGGTGTCTGAGCTGGGTGACACGTGTGGAGGGGGCAGGGCAGGGATCAGAGTGCCTGCCCTGTCCTTAAGACTTGAGAGAGGGAGGGTGTTAATGCTACTGAGAGACTATTTTAGTGACTGGACTGTCAGTGTGCTACTTGACTGCAGCAGTCACTCTGCTTGCCTGCTGGAGATGCCATGAGGTAGCTTAGTTTAAACACGTGGGTTCAATTTAGGCCTTGCTCTCTGAGTATGTTCTTTATATTCTATCAATCTATCAATCTCACTGCAGTTTGGTGTAATCTAGTTGACACATTTTCTCTCCTCTCTCCTCCAGGTTATAATGCATGACCAACACAGAAAAAGCTTGACTCTATAGCCAACGGGATCCCGAGGACTTGATTTACAGTCGCTTCAAGCCTGATAGTTTGCATCGGTGCGGCTGCCCCCCTACCCCCGGCTCACACCCCTTTGGTCGACTGGCATTACTTCTGACAGCCCCCTTCCTCCTCCACTGGTAAAGAAGACTTGGTTTCCCTTGTGGTTCTCTGTCTACTTTGCCTGTCTTCACTTCCGTCGGTTCTCTACTGACACCAGTAGCACTCCCTGGAGTTACGTCATTCTGTATTAGGTAAGACCATTATTATTAAAGCAAGGGGCAGATTACACACACAATGCACATGTGCCTAATTCAAATCCTCAATGTGATCATGAATTAATCAAGCAAGCTTTTATGAACGATGCCAGCATCATGCCACTCTACTTTGTGTGTGTGTGTGGGACTGATGGTTGAAGAGTGTAGTCATATGGGGATAGAAATGTAGATGTTACTTTGTCTGTGATACTCTTCTTTTTTTTTTCATGTTCCCCCTTCTCTCTCCCCTCCATCCCTCACTGGTCAGGCTCTGCCCCCAACATTAAATAGTGAAGATGATTCCCAACGGTTATCTGATCTTTGAAGATGAGAGTTTCCTGGATTCCACTGTGGCCAAGATGAACGCCCTGAGAAAGAGCGGACAGTTCTGTGATGTGAGACTGCAGGTACATGGAGCTCTCTCTTTTTCTCTCTCTCTTTCGCTCTCTCTCTTCTCCCTCTCTCCACCCCTCCCGCTCTCTCTCTTCTCCCTCTCTCCACCCCTCCCGCTCTCTTTCTTCTCCCTCTCTCCACCCCTCCTCCATCCCTTCCTCTCTCCCTCCCTCCCTCTCTCCACCTCTCCCTCCCTCTCTCTCCACCCCTCCCTCCCTCTCTCTCCACCTCTCCCTCCCTCTCTCTCCACCTCTCCCTCCCTCTCTCTACCCCTCTCTCTCTCTACCCACCCTCTATCTCTCTACCCCTCTCTCTCCACCCCTTTCTCACTCCTGTCTTTTGAGAAATGACACCAGTCCCACCATTATGGGGAAGAGTCTTGAGTCACTGCAATCAGAGCACCTGTGACACGTGAGACTGAGGGAGTGGGAGGATAAGACGTAAAGAGCCAGAGGTGTTTTTCTAGATTTCAGGTTTGGCAGACACACATGTCATTAGACATTAGGCAGAGGTTTCACTTGTTTTCCTTCTCTAAAGGTCATGCAACAATTTCAAAGATTTTACTGAGTTATTGTTCATATAAGGAAATCAGTTGATTGAAATACATTCATTAGGCCCTAATCTATGTATTTCACATGACTGGGAACAGTGGCGGCTCCTGAAAAAATTCTCAGGGGGGGGCAGTTTTTCTGATGATTTAGGTGACCTACACACATTTAAAAAAAGATATGTCCAGCAACAACATGAAGACAGGGGCAGCAAATAAGTCAATACTGATATACACATTACTTGCTTCAAAAAGGCCTTATGGTTGAATTGGAAATATGTGCACCTGAGCATAATTCACAACAAGCAAGCAGGAGCTTTTGATAGAGGCTACTGAAAACATTGATGCAAGTTATTGGTAATAAGAAATTTTTATAGACTTCCATATTCTGCCCTCTTGTATAGATTTGTGAAAATGAACAGTGATAGACATTTTGCCTGAAAACAACAGAATTTGAAAATAATTTCTAGAAAAGGTAAACACAGCTATCTGTATGGCTTTGTAAAAATGAACAACCATATTCTGGCCAATTGTATAGATTTGTAAATATGAACAACCATATTCTGGCCAATTGTATAGATTTGTAAAAATGAACATGAACAGACTTGGTGAAACATTTACTTAAAAAAAAATGAAAAATAACTATTTTAAACAACATCAACTGTGAACTGATTTGGGCGTGTGTGTGTTAAAGAGACAGACAGGGAGGGACAAAGAGAGAGAGAGGCTACATTACTTGTACTGAAACTGTTCTAGCTTGCTGCATGATCAAATTCAGCTGATGCGCATAGCAATGCACGTAATGGGCATTCTTGAAATGCTCACGCACCTTTTGCTGCACACCAGCCTTCTCTCACCTCATCACACTGGCTCCATCGTAAGCTTGCGCAATGAGTTTGACTTTCTCGTCGTCGGCAAAAAGACCGTTCAGTCTCTCCAAAAGCACACTGGCGATTGAGACTGAGGTTGATTCCGAGATGGGAAGGAACTCAAAAAAGCGCTCCTGCACTTTGTGGTTGCTATCTATGTACCTCAGCACAAGCACCAGCTGTGTCTGTGTAGAAACGTCCGTGGTCTCGTCAGCTTGGATAGCTACGAAGTTCGCCGACTTCACCTCCTCCACAATATGTTCCCTCATGACCGCTAGCATACACTCCAGTAGCTCGTTTTGAATGGTCTTTGATGTGCCCTTGAAAACTTTAGCATTTTTAAGATGGTCATCAAACACCTCATCTAATTGTGCCACAAATTTGACAAGTCCAAGAAAAATACCAGGGTTGGTGGAGCCCTCAGTTTCATCTTTGCCTCGCAAAGCTAGCCATCTTGACAGTTGTACGTGAATTGATTGACGCTGCTACCCGCTCTTTTCTTAGTTATGTTCATGGTTACTTATGTTACGTATGACGAAAGCGCGTAAGTGCAAGCCCTCCCGGAACCCATAGAGATTGTATTGAAAGCTCTGATATTTGAAGAAAAAAAATATTTTACATGATAGTCTATGAGAGACTCCTGGGCGATTTTCAACCTGACTGAAATCGCCCCAAAAGGGGCGGGGCCATTTGAAGCACGACTTTAGCCTGATTGGACATTTAGTGGCAGATCAGACGTCTAGATTAGAACACTGAAAACTACTGTTGCCGTGATATAATTGATTAGGAAAAAAAAATCCCTTCCTTTTCCCGTTTGGCAGTGCGTCGCCCATATCGCCCTAATGAACACACCGCCCCTGACTGGGAATACAGATATGCATCTGTTTGTCACCGATACCGTAAAAAAAAAAAGGTATGGGCATGGATCAGGTAACCAGTCAGTATCTGGTCTGACCACCATTTGCCTCATGCAGCGCGATACATCTTCGCATAGAGTTGATCAGGCTGTTGATTGTGGAATGTTGTCCTACTCTTCTTCAATGGCTGTGCGGAGTTGCTGGATATTTGGTGGGAACTGGAACACGCTGTCATACACGTCGATCCAGAGCATTCCAAACATGCTCAATGGGTGTCATGTCTGGTGAGTATGCAGGCCATGAAAGAACTGGGACATTTTCAGCTTCCAGGAATTTTGTACAGATTCTTGCGACATGATTCTTGTGATTAATGCCGTGCATTATCATGCTGAAACATGAGATGATGGCGGCGGATGAATGGCACGACAATGGGCCTCAGGATCTCATCACGGTATCTCTGTGCATTCAAATTGCCATCGATAAAATGCAATTGTTTGTTGTCCATAGCTTATGCCTGCTCGTACCATAACCCCACCGCCAACATGGGACACTGTTCACAATGTTGACATCAGCAAACCGCTCACCCACACGACGCCGAACACTCTGTCTGCCGTCTGCCCGGTACAGTTGAAACCGGGATTCATCCGTGAAGAGCACACTTCTCCAGCGTGCCAGTAGCCATCGAAGGTGAGCGTTTGCCCACTGAAGTGGGTTACGAAGTCGAACTGCAGTCAGGTCAAGACCCTGGTGAGGACGACGAGCACGCAGATGAGCTTCCCTGAGACTGTTTCTGACTGTTTGTGCAGAAATTATTCCGTTGTGCAAGCCCACCCACAGTTTCATCAGCTGTCTGGGTGGCTGGTCTCAGACGATCGTGCAGGTGAAGAAGCCGGATGTGGAGGTCCTGGGCTGGCGTGGGTGCACGTGGTCTGCGGTTGTGAGGACGGTTGAACGTACTGCCAAATTCTCTAACATGACGGAGGCTGCTTATGGTAAAGACATTAATATTCAATTAAATCAAATCTAATTTTATTTGTCACATGCGCCGAATACAACAGGTGTAGACCTTACAGTGAAACGCTTACTTACAAGCCCTTAACCAACAATGCAGTTTTAAGAAAGACTACCATAAATCACAAAAAAATACAATATAAAATAATACCAAATAAAAGTAACAAATAATTAAAGAGCAGCAGTAAAAATAATAATAGTGAGGCTATATACAGGGGGTACCGGTACCGAGTCAATGTGCGGGGGCACCGGTTAGTCGAGGTAATATGGCTTTCTCGTCGTTGTCGGTGATCAGGCTTACCACTGTTGTGTCATCGGCAATCTTAATGATGGTGTTTGAGTCGTGCCTGGCCATGCAGACATGAGTGAACAGGGAGTACAGGAGGGGACTGAGCATGCACCACTGAGGGGCCCCAGTGTTGAGGATCAGCATGGCAGATGTGTTGTTACCTACCCTTACCAACTGGGGGCGGCCAGTCAGAGTCCAGGATCCAGTTGCAGAGGGAGGTGTTTAGTCCCAGGGTCCTTAACTTAGTGATGAGCTTGGAGGGCACTATGGTGTTGAACGCTGAGCTGTAGTCAATGAATAGCATTCTCACATAGGTGTCCCTTTTGTCCAGGTGTGAAAGGGCAGTGTGGAGCGCAATAAAGATTGCATCATCTGTTGGGGCGGTATGCAAATTGGAGTGGATCTAGGGTTTCTGGGATAATGGTGTTGATGTCAGCAATGGCCAGCCTTTCAAAGCACTTCATGGCTACAGATGTGAGTGCTACGGGTCGGTAGTCATTTAGGCAGGTTACCTTAGTGTTCTTGGGCACATGGACTATAGTGGTCTGCTTGAAACATGTTGGTATTACAGACAGGGAGAGGTTGAAAATGTCAGTGAAGACACTTGACAGTTGGTCAGCACATGCTCGGAGTACACGTCCTAGTAATCCGTCTGGCCCTGCGGCCTTGTGAATGTTGACCTGTTTAAAGGTCTTACTCACATCGGCTACGGAGAGCATGATCACACAGTCGTCCGGAACAGCTGATGCTCTCATGCATGTTTCAGTGTTACTTGCCTCGACGCGAGCATAGAAGTAATTTAGCTCGTCTGGTAGGCTTGTGTCACTGGGCAGCTCGCGACTGCTTCCCTTTGTAGTCTGTAATAGTTTGCAAGCCCTGCCACATCCGACGAGCGTCGGAGCCGGTGTAGTACGATTCGATCTTAGTCCTGTATTGACGCTTTGACTGTTTGATGGTTCGTCGGAGGGCATTGCAGGATTTCTTATAAGCTTCCGGGTTAGAGTCACGCACCTTGAAAGCGGCAGCTCTACCCTTTAGCTCAGTGCGGATGTTGCCTGTAATCCATGGCTTCTGGTTGGGGTATGTACGTACAGTCACTGTGGGGACGACGTCATCGATGCACTTATTGATGAAGCCAGTGACTGATGTGATGTACTCCTCAATGCCATCGGAAGAATCCCAGAACATATTCCAGTATGTGCTAGCAAAACCATCCTTTAGCTTAGCATCTGCTTCATCTGACCAGTTTTTTATTGACCGAGTTACTGGTGCTTCCTGCTTTAGTTTTTGCTTGTAAGCTGGAATCAGGAGAATATAATTATGGTCAGATTTGCCAAATGGAGGGCGAGGGAGAGCTTTGTACGTGTCTCTGTGTGTGGAGTAAAGGTGGTCTAGAGTTGTTGTTTTTGTTTTTTCTCTGGTTGCACATGTAACATGCTGGTAGAAATGAGGTTGAACGGATTTAAGTTTCCCTGCATTAAAGTCCCCGGCCACGAGGAGTGCCGCCTCTGGATGAGGGTTTTCCTGTTTGCTTATGACCGTATAATAATAATAATAATAATAATATGCCATTTAGCAGACGCTTTTATCCAAAGCGACTTACAGTCGTGCGTGCATACATTTTTGTGTATGGGTGGTCCCGGGGATCGAACCCACTACCTTGGCGTTACAAGCGCCGTGCTCTACCAGCTGAGCTACAGAGGACCACGGTTCATTGAGTGCGGTCTTAGTGCCAGCATCGGTTTGTGGTGGTAAATAGACAGCTACGAAGAATATAGATGAAAACTCTCTTGGTAGATAATGTGGTCTACAGCTAATCATGAGATACTGTACCTCAGGAGAGCAAAACCTCGAGACTCCTTAGATATCGTGCACCTGCTTTTGTTTACAAATATACATAGACCGCCACCCCTTGTCTGACCAGAGGCTGCTGTTCTATCCTGCCGATAGTGTATAACCCGCCAGCTGTATGTTATTCATGTCTTTGTTCAGCCACGACTTGGTGAAACATAAGATATTACAGTTTTTAATGTCCTGTTGGTAGGATATTCGTGCCTGTAGTTCGTCCACTTTATTATCAAGCGATTGTAAGTTGGCCAATAGTATCGATGCCAAAGGCAGATTAGCCACTCGTCGCCAGCTCCTTACCAAGCACCCCGATCTCCTTCCGTGATATCTCCTTTTCTTTCTACTTCGAATGATGGGAATGAGGGCCCTGTCGGGTGTCTGGAGCGAATCCCTCTCGTCCGACTCATTAAAGAAAAATGATTAGTCCAGTTCAAGGTGAGTAATCGCTGTTCTGATGTCCAGAAGCTATTTTCGGTCATAAGAGACGGTAGCAGCAACATTATGTACAAAATAAGTTACAAACAATACGAAAAAACACATAAAATAGCACGGTTGGTTAAGAGTCCATAAAACAGCAGCCATCCCCTCCGGCGCCATTTCTAAAAGGCGCCTCAGTCAGTCAGTCAATCGATCAATAATATAATCATACTCTTAGCAAAAATTGTTATCTTTAATTTACAATCTGTAAACTGAGAATAGAAAGGTTCAGAACTTTTGTGAAACAGCGCAGTTGAAAAATGTATGGCAAATAGAAATCAAAACTGGATGGTGTTCAGAGATGGATGGAAGGGGTTGAGTGGAGCTGAAGGGTGGGACTAAAAATACAAGATAACTCATGTAAAATATATTGTGTCCGTAAAATGTACATAGTATGTATAAGCTAGAAGTAGAAGCCTAAGTGTTGTCCATTAGTTTACTCCAATTAGGGGAGGGGTGTTAGGGTATAGGGGAAAATAACAAAGGAAAATATATTAAATGTTTTATACAAACATACATACATACATGCATACATGCATGCATACAGTGCATTCGGAAACTATTCAGACCCCTTGACTTTTTCCACATTTTGTTACGTTACAGCCTTATTCTAAAATTGATTAAATAAATGTTTTTCCTCAGCAATCTACACACAATACCCCATAATGACAAAGCGAAAACAGGTTTTTAGAATTTTTTGCAAATTTATTAAAAATAAAAATACCTTATTTACATAAGTATTCAGACCTTTTGCTATGAGACAGGATTGTGTCGAGGCACAGATCTGGGTAAGGTTACTCAAAAAGTTCTGCAGCGTTGAAGGTCCCGAAGAACACAGTGGCCTCCATCATTCTTAAAAGGAAGAAGTTTGGAACCTACAAGACTCTTCCTAGAGCTGGCCGTCCGGTCAAACTGAGCAATCAAGGGAGAAGGGCCTCAGTCAGGGAGGTGACCAAGAACCTGATGGTCACTCTGACAGAGCTCCAGAGTTCCTCTGTGGCGATGGAAGAACCTTCCAGAAGGACATCCATCTCTGCAACACTCCACCAATCAGAACTTTATGGTAGAGTGGCCAGACATAAGCCACTTCTCAGTAAAAGGCACATGACGACTCGCTTGGAGTTTGCCAAAAGGCACCTAAAGACTCTCAGACCATGAGAAAGAAGATTCTCTGGTCTGATGAAACCAAGATTGAACTCTTTGGCCTGAATGCCAAGCGTCACGTCTGGAGGAAACCTGGCACCATCCCTAAGGTGAAGCATGTTGGTGACAGCATCATGCTGTGGGGATGTTTTTCAGCTGCAGGGACTGGGTGACTAGTCAGGATCGAGGCAAAGTACAGAGATCCTTGATGAAAACATGCTCCAGAGCGCTCAGGACCTCAGACTGGGGCTAAGGTTCAACTTCCAACAGGACAACGACCCTAAACGCATAATCATTTGCAACATTCAAGCTGGGGAAAAAATCTTTTAAAATAACATTCTCTGGCAACAGCTCTGGTGGACATTCCTGCAGTCAGCATGCCAATTGCAAGCTCCCTGAACCTGAGACATCTGTTGCATTGTGTTGTGTGAGAACTGCACATTTTAGTGGCCTTTTATTGTCCCCAGCAGAAGGTGCACCTGTGTAATGATCATGCTGTTTAATCAGCTTCTTGATTTGCGACATGTCAGTTGGATGGGTTATCTTGGCAAAGGAGAAATGCTAACTAACAGGAATGTAAACAACATTTGAGAGAAGTAAGCTTTTTGTGCATATGGAACATTTCTGGGATCTTTTATTTCGGCTCATGAAACATGGGACCAACGCTTCTCATGTTGTGTTTGCATTTTTGTTCAGTATAAATGATAGCACCTCTGAAGAAGGATCTCTATAGTTTGAGCCCTGACCTCTGATCTGTGTCCTCTGTAGGTGTGTGGTCATGAGTTGATGGCTCACCGTGCCGTGCTGGCCTGCTGTAGCCCCTACCTGTTTGAGATCTTCAACAGTGCGATCGAACCTCACGGTGTGTCCCACGTCACCTTCGAAGACCTTGACCCAGACGCTGTGGAGATCCTGCTTAACTACGCCTACACTGCCCAGTAAGTGCCATGACCTCTAACCTCTACCCTTTGACCCCTACACTATGCCTACACTGCCCAGTGAGTATACATCTTCAAATACATGCAATGAGCTTTGTTAAAGTGACGTTCTGCAACTTTGGCCACTACATAACTATTTTTTTTTATCCTCCTGCTTTGGGCTGGATGTGTCAATGTGTACTACATACATGCATATGAGCAGAATTTGTGTCCTAACTCAAATAGCCACGAAATCCCTAGTTTGAAAGAGACTGTTTTCTGGAAGTTAATTGGCGCTGTTTTGAGTGCAGCAAGCTTGGCCCATGTGGGCCACCCCCCTAGCAATTCGAGTTCCAGCCAATGAGCATCAGCCCCTCGCCATTTGAGTGACAACTAGCAAGATGCACATTGAAAGAAGGCTGGCCCAGGCCTCACGATACGATATTAGCCGATACGATATTTACATTTTAGTCATTTAGCAGAAGCTCTTATCCAGAGCGACTTACAGTTAGAGTGCATACATTTTCATACTGATATGTATTGCGATTCTCACGATTCTATATATATATTGCGATTCCATACTGTAATTTTATTGCGATTCGATGTTCCAAACATATTGCTCACCGTATGTCTGCTGCAGAAAGACGAGGGAGCATGAGAAAATGAGTTTTGATCAGTCATGGAAATAAAAGTGCTGAAAACAAATGGGCTCCCTATTTAAAAAGAAGATTTGGAACAAGCAGTTTTGGTGCAGGTACAGCAAACTACCACAAAAATAATTTTGCGACTTTGTCTATACGATATATCGTCAACAATAATATCCCGATATGTATCTATGATTATTATAAATTTTTTCATCACTACTTGCAGTGCGGGCCCAATGGCTCAGTGACACAACAGAGACAGAGCCCGAGAGCAATGACGTACTGCACATATATGACGTAGTACGCAATTTTCGTGGGACCCATTTGGCTCTTGAGCGCTGCTTTCAGAACTACTGGTTAAAACGTTTGCAAATCTTCTGGAAAGTCTCTTTTAAAGGGGCAGTTATGTTTTTTAACTGATATTTCCACACTGAGGTTGAAATAACACAATATTTAAGTATTAACAAAATATGACTTACTGTGTTTGGCCTCTGAGACTCAGAGGCCTATAGTCTGCCCTGTAGATAATCATGGTATTCTGCAATAAATAGACTGCAGACAGGGTATAAGACAGGATGGTCCACCATGCAAACAGGCTGTTCTGGTCCTGCATCTTCTGTTGACCTATTGAAAACAGTACAACAATGATAAAGCAAATTCAAATGCATTAAGTATGCCTTTTTGTTTTGATGACAAAACAAAGTAGCCTGCAGACCTGTGAAAGTTTTCCGCTTTCAGGGTGCAACTCCAGCTCTAACTGACCGGTTGAATACCATGTGCCTTTGTTTTTTTGAAGGGTTAAGTGGGTGGGCTCTAGACCATCCTATCAGCCAATCCGGCTGTGTCATTTCATATTCGATTTTGTTTCCTAACGCCCACACGATCAGACTGAGCATTTCAGTGGCCCAAGGAGGCACAGAGAAATACATTATAAAAAAAATAACAAAAATCCTCAAGGCTTTATTTTTGATTGCTCATCATTCCTGTCAAACACGCGTACGACTCTGTCTGACTAATGGTTCTGTCTTACAGATTGAAGGCAGACAAGGAGTTGGTTAAGGATGTCTACACTGCAGCCAAAAGGCTAAAGATGGAACGAGTCAAGCAGGTAGGATCTTTCTATTTTTTAAACTACTGATACGCAAAACTGTATGTTTTAATGCAGTCCCAATGTTCAGAGGTTTACACTTCTCTCCTCACTGTTTGGTCAGATCTGTGGAAACTACCTGCTGTCGAAGGTGGAATCCCAGAGCGCCATCTCCTTTCGCAACTTTTCCAGCTGCATGGGAGACGGCCTCATGCTGTCCAAGATCGATGCCTACATCCAAGAACACCTGCTGGAGGTCTCTGAGCAGGAGGACTTTCTCAAACTCCCCCGCCTCAAGGTGAGCCTTCCCTGGGCAATGGTCTACTGCAACCTTAAAGGGGCAGTGCAGTTAAAAACGTGTCTTTCCGGGGGTCTTTAATGATATTTCCATATTGAACTCTGAGGAAAAAAAAATATGTATGCACTCACTAACTGTAAGTCGCTCTGGCTAAGAGCTTCTGCTAAATTAAAATTATAATGCTCTTTTTGTGTAAGAGCTGTTTAAAAAATGTCAGCCTGTTCAGGTTGGATGGAGTTTTTGGCCCGCCGCATAATGTAAAAAGGCAATCTGATTATAACCGACCAATGACCGTTCATCTATTACTAGCATATATCCGCCTACACTGCGGCTGGCCCCACCCGGTTATATTGGCATTCCATTCCTCATTGTTTGCACCATGCAGAGTTGGGCTACCAAAGACCAAAATATTTCTGGGGTTACTTCCTACTTTATCTTGCACCCGGCAGCAACCATTCAAGAAGTAAGTATCTAGATAGTTACTATTCTATTATTAAAAGTAAAGGACATAATATTCATGAGTGGCATGTTTTGTTTTGAATGTTATGTTGAAGACTGATGCCCGACAAAGTTCTAGTCTCGATTTGGCGCTGTTAGTCAAAAGTGGCTTGGGAAAACGATGACATTTCAAAAAGAGGCATATAATTAATAGGAACACCTTTTGTCATCCTTGTGATGTCGCTAAATTGACTTTAGATTGTATAACTTAAGCTTGCTAGCTAAGATTGAGGGGACAACACTGAATTTTAGCTAGCTAACGTTAGCATTGCTGGCTATTTTCGACGAACTTGGCTAGCTAATGGCGACAGTTATCCCTCTCTAAAGTAAATTTGACGACATCAAACTGGCATAGTTTCCTAATAATGATTTGCCTACTTTAGCAACGTAATCGTATTTCCAGGTCATTATAGTGTAATTTAGACAACTGTCGTTAGCTAGCAGCAGCATAGCTGGCTAGCTACCTAGCTATATTTTAGCAGCAGCAGCATCAATGCTTAATTCATAACCTGATTTACAGTTGCAATCACTTAGTTTTAACTTGTTCACTATTTATGTAATTAACCAACTTATCAATATTGATAAGTTGGACAGCCACATCTTGGACAGCCAAATCTTGTTGGCTCATTTCTTCCAATCTTTCTAATTTATTAAATAAAAAATGTTTTATGTCACCACATTCTATAAGTCAAAAGGTGTTGGCGTCATCCTTGATTCCACCCTCACCTTCGACCACCACATCCGACAGAATGTTCTCCGTAACATCTCCAGAGTCAGGACCTCCCTCTCCCGTCTTGGCGCTAAAACCCTCTTTCGTGCATTCATCTCCTCCCAACTAGACCACTGTAACTCACTACTCTCAGGCATCAACACAAGCTCCCTCTATATACTCCAAATGGTTCAAAACTATGCAGCCTGACTTCTCACGACACCACCCCTGTCTGATTTTACTTTTTTTGAGAGAGTAGTGTAGTAAACCATGTCCTATAACCAAGTAGGAATTCAATGGGTGGGGGAGATGTGACTATTTGAAGACCCATTTGTAGTGTGTGTGTGTGTGTAGGGGCAGTGGTCAACAACCAACCTCCAGGAGATCTGTTCTCCGGTAGATTTTCTCTCCAACATCACATATCACAACAGATTCCGCCAAACAAGTTCTTGGAGAGAAGCTAAGTGTGCAATACTGCAACTCTTCCACTTTTCCTGTCAAGGGATGAGGTTAGAGTTGTGTATAGTAATGTCAGTGTTTGAGAAAGCTGGTGATTACAATGTAAATTAAAGCACAACTTTTTTGTACTTTGTTGCCTACTCTGTTGCTGCACTATACCTCCGATCTGATTATGTTTAGCGAACACCCTCTTACTTTCACCATGATCTGTTTTCCTCTCACAGGAACACCTTCCAGAGCTTGAGCACATGTAAAACAATTACTTGAAAAGATACTTACATGCCATACTTTCATTATAACCTTGTTTACGATCTGTTTATTCTGTTATGTAAATAACTGACAAGAGAATTTGTAGAATGACAGCCTTTCATGGCAGTCTGGTTATTTTATTTACTTTCAACAACAGAAAGCATTCCAAAATGTGTAATTCAAGAGTGTTTACTCATTAGAAAAATTGAAATAAATTATCTTCCGTGTCATTACAAAGTCTATTTCGCAAAATTATGAAATAGACTTTGATTATACTGAAGATTATACCATGAGCCTCTGCATGGAAGTATTACTTGTTTTTGGCCTCAGACAGAGTCCTATAGTCTGCCCTGTAGATAATCATGGCGTTGTGCAATGAATAGACGGCAGACAGGGTATAGGCCAGGATGGAATATATTCACATTTGTATCCCCACACCCACACAGTTGGACTAAGCATTTCAGTGGCCTAAGGAGGCTTAGGAAAAGAAATTAGATTTATTTTTATTTTTAATTATATTCAATAAATAACCTCAGTGATTGGTTAGACATACAGGGATACTTTTATTTAAATTCACTATTTACCTAGTCTCACTAGACATACGGGTTGCTTCCGGCAATGTACCACTGCTCCAGCTTAACACGTCCGTAGTGGTTCTGGCGTCAGTTTGGACAGTCGGAAATTGGAAGCCCGTCGCTGGTAGTCTGCTTCTTGCCCTAGCTAAACATGAGCACAATTCCCGCCTGCATTTTAAGCCTCGCCTACCCAAACTTGTGATTTGTTAAGAGTGTTGACTGTCTGAAGAGGACCCTTCCTGAAAAAGTAAATAATTTCCTTTTGAAATGTCAGAGAAGCCGACATCCTCCCCAGACCTTGTCGCTGCCTAGCTTGTGATGCTCCAAGACTTTACCTTGACTAGGAGGCTATCTGATTGCTTTATTGACCGTTTGAGGACAAACATGGATAAATAATCTCAGTAGAAATTGTTAGCTGTAACTGCTCTGGATCTCACCCAATATGTACTAATCAGTGAACAGTTACATTTCTCGCTTGACGTTCATATCTAAATCGATGGCTTCCATGTCTATACACAGATACTGTATTTGATCCTGCCTCAAAATGACCATCTGTTAATGTGGGTGTGACCCAACTGGTTACTTATGGCCTTCAAATACAGTTCGTTGCATTATTACTTTTGTGCTGTAGAACTCACCAGTTACAGGTTTTGATTGAATAGCCTTCTCTGTTTCTCCAATTTTTTAAGTGGAACACATCTTAACCCTAGTCAGGCTACGATGGTTCAATAAGGAATCAGTGTCTTGTGATTTGACCCTAGCCATGGTTGATCCTAGCACCTCTTTTGACTGGTCTCCTCTTGTATGTCTCTACAGTTAGAAGTAATGCTGGAAGACAGCCTGAGCCTGCCCAGCAATGGCAAGCTCTACTCCAAGGTGCTCAACTGGGTCCAGCGCAGACTGTGGGAGAATGGAGACCAACTGGATGGACTGATGGAGGAGGTCAGTACCCTAGCTGGAGTCTAGCTTGCACTCATCCACCCCATATCCCTCCCTCCTTTCCGCTCTTTCCTCTAACAAGTCGTTTTGGCACTGTTCACAACCCAACGTGGCATGATGTCATTTCACACACTGTGTTAGGACTGTTGGTTGGTTTGTTTTTCCATTCTTTCTTTTTTTAAGTGTAAAGTTATGCAGTACAGTGTACCTGGGCATACTGCAAACTAGAGGTGAGCAGAGACACCGCAGCGTTGCTGTTCGCTCTTTCATTTGTCTGTTTTAGTGACCAGTTGTTTCCACCCCACAGTGTTATGACTTTTTGGTCTCTTCTCTTTAGCGTTGAAACAAATGCGAGTGAGCAGTTGTTTGACTCTGTTCTATCTCACTGTTCTCTTTCTGAGCAGGGGTGTGTGTGTGCGCATTAAGTGTGTGTTTGCGTGCACGTGTCAGCGTGCGCCCCAGTACTAACGACTGTTCCTCCCCGTTGATTTTCTCTGTTCTCCAGGTTTATTAACAGCAGCAGGAGACGAGACTGAAGAACCAAGACTGAGCCACCAGGGTAATGAGTCAGAGAGAGAAACAGAGAGAGGAGAAAAAAAAAGGGGGGGAGAGGAGACTAAAGGGAGGAGAGAAGCGACTTCCTCTCTACAGCCAAAGCAACACTGAGTTCCTATCTGTCTATGGAACTCACACACTTAGCTTACACATATTTAACATTTGGATAGTATGCATATATTTACTTTCATTCCATTGGTCGTCCGGATATAAAAAATGACATGCAGGAGAGTACTCACAGAAACCCATATCCACTGAACAGTACATCTGCACAGCACGTAACAATGATTACCCCAACCCCTCCACCACATACTCGATACCCCCCTCATAATTCACTGATCAATGATGTGTCATCTCTCATTCATGATTTATAGCCAAACTCCTTATTTTGGAACCGCATTTAATATGAACCATATCCCATATTTAATCCATAGCAGTGATTGCACAGTACATTTTAAGAGCCATGCTAAGTGGGCAAGAGCAGAATGACGGCCATTTAAAGCAGCTTTTGAAATGCTTCTCTGCTCAAAAATATTCTACACACCATCTCAATGCCCACATCACAATCCAATCACTTATTTGAACAGATTTTTTAAACCGATTTTTTTATTATTATTTTTTATTTATTTATTTTTACTGTAATTTTGTTTGAAAACATCTATTTTCTTGTTTTTTTATTTTATGACGACTTGTATGAAACGTCAATGTGTGTCAAAGCTTTGCCTTCACCTGCTGTATGAAAGAACAACTCATGGATTTACATCAGGGAACTGCAGTGCCTTTTTTCTTATGTTTTCCTATGCAATTGTACTGACCAACTTCCTGAGCCACCCGTGAGCGTGGTTTCTGGTTTCCAAGCAGCCGGTGTGAGGACTGAAGACGTTTCCAGATGCTGCGTCTTTACCAACCCCAGACTCCTCCTTTTTTAGATCTTATGGAGAGAGGGCAGCACAGAAGTCGAAACTGCTGATTTTGTGTGGACTCCTACATGTACTGTAACCACCTCTGTTCGTTCAACTGTTTGTCCATGTTGATAAAGAAGCATTGGTTCCTACCAGTGACAACCGATCAGCCTTCCTCCCCAACCAACCCCCTCCCCCCACCGTCTTCCTTCCACCTCCCTCCCTCTTGTGTTGCCCGGGGTGCTGCTGTGTTGCCATGGAGACAGCCTGCCACATGGGTGTTGTCGCTGTGTGTCTTGCAGGTGCAAACGCTGTACTACTCAGCTGACCACAAGCTGCTCGACGGCGCACTCATCCTTGAGGAACATGGGATGTTTGGGTTTGGTGCGGAGGAGGACCACATCCAGTTTGTGCAGGTACACAAATCAAATTAATTTATATTTGCCACATGCGCCGAATACAACAGGTGTAGACCTTACAGTGAAATGCTTACTTACAAGCCCTTATCCAACAATGCAGTTTTTAAGAAAAAGAAAAAAAGTGTTCAGTAAAAAATAGCAAACAATTAAAGAGCAGCAGTAAAATAAAATAACAGTAGGGAGGATATATACAGGGGGTACCGGTACAGAGTCAATGTGCGGGAGCACCGGTTAATTGAGTTAATATGTACATGTGGGTAGAGTTAAAGTGACTGTGCATAAATAATAAACAGAGTAGCAGCAGTGTAAAAGAGTGGGGGGGGGGGGCAATGCAAATAGTCTGGGTAGCCATGATTAGCTGTTCAGGAGTCTTATGGCTTGGGGGTAGAAGCTGTTAAGAAGCCTTTTGGACCTAGACTTGGCGCTCCGGTACCGCTTGCTGTGCGGTAGCAGAGAGAACAGTCTATGACACGGGTGGCTGGAGTCTTTGACAATTTATAGGGCCTTCCTCTGACACTGCCTGGTATAGAGGTCCAGGATGGCAGGGAGCTTGGCCCCAGTGATGTACTGGGCCGTACGCACTTCCCACCCCTACCTGGACCTTTCCTGGGCCTACCTGAGTGTCGCTTGGCCCAACCTGGCCTTCATCCCACCTTATGTAGCCTGACAACAAGGGAAACAATTAGCATGTAGAACCTGGGGATACTACAGACTTGCTTGCGTAGCTCATGTTGCACGTTCGATGGTAGTGATTACTACCTTTTTTGTGTGTTTTGTCTCAGTATGTAGCTGCTTCTGCATTTGTAAAAGTCTTTGCATTGTCTGTGCTGTCTTTCAGCATGTTCAGATGGTTTAAAATGGGTTGTAGGCTGGTTTGAACCATTTCAGGGGGGTTAGCACTGCTAAAAGAATGTGCTTGGGTGTATTTCTAGGCAGGTTTAAACCCAGGTTTAGTCCATTTTCAGGCCAGATTGTGGAGTGTGCGCTCTGCAGCCAGCTGGTGTAATAGCCAGTGGTGGAATGATGTGGCTGTTGCCTCTGGCTGGGCTTCTGTAGCTGCTTTGTGCTCTTGCAGAAGAAGCCCCCTCGTGAGAACAGCAACACCCAGAGACAGCCGAGCTCCAGCTCCTCCGGCAGCACCTCACCCTCCGGCTTGGCCTCCAACACACCCAAACCCTGCAGGAGAGAGTGGAAGTACATCGCCTCCGAGAAGACCACCAGTAAGTGAATGTGTCGAAGAATGTTTGAAGCCTTCGGTGTCATGGAGTGGGTGTATAGCATAATGTTTAAGAATAAAAAAAACAAACATTTTATTTAGTTTAACCATCACCTCCACTCATGGCTATTTCCCTCCCTCCTCCTTCTCCCTCTCTCTCCCAGACAACACCTACCTGTGTCTGGCCGTGCTGGACGGGGTGTTATGTGTGATCTTCCTGCATGGCCGCAACTCTCCCCAGAGTTCTCCCTCTGCCACACCCTGTCTGATGAAGAGCCTGAGCTTTGAGGCCCGGCCTGAGGAGCTGGAGGAACACCCGCTGACCGCCATGCACTATGCCCGATCTGGCCTGGGCACTGCCACCCTGCAGGGCAGGCTCATCGCTGCAGGTATACAGGGTTAAAAAGCCAATGGGCCTCTATCTGGAAACTGGCACTGACAGGTCTCAGATCCTCCAAATCAACCCTGTCCTGTTACTCACAAATGTTATCTATCTATCTATCTATACACAGTACCAGTCAAACGTTTGGACACACTTACACATTCAAGCGTTTTTCTTTTTTTAAACTATTTTTTACATTGTAGAATAATAGTGAAGACATCAAAACTATGAAATAACACATATGGAATCATGTAGTAACCAAGAAAGTGTTAAACAAATCAAAATATATTTTATATTTATTCTTCAAATAGCCACCCTTTGCCTTGATGACAGCTTTGCACACTATTGGCATTCTCTCAACCAGCTTCACCTGGAATGCTTTTCCAACAGTCTTGAAGGAGTTCCCACATGCTGAGCACTTCTTTGTCAAATAGCCCTTACAAAGCCTGGAGGTGTGTTGGGTCATTGTCCTGTTGAAAAACAAATGATAGTCCCACTAAGCCCAAACCAGATGGGATGGCGTATCGCTGCAGAATGCTGTGGTAGCCATGCTGGTTAAGTGTGCCTTGAATTCTAAATAAATCACGGGGAGAGTGTCACAAGCAAAGCACCCCCACACCATAACACCACCACCTCCATGCTTTACGGTGGGAACTACACATGCGGAGATCATCCGTTCACCCACACCACATCTCACAAAGACATGGCGGTTTGAACCAAAAATCTCAAATTTGGACTCCAGACCAAAGGACACATTTCCACCTTTCTAATGTCTATTGCTCGTGTTTCTTGGCCCAAGCAGGTCTCTTCTTATTGGTGTCCTTTTAGTAGAGGTTTCTTTGCAGCAATTCGACCATGAAGGCCTGATTCACACAGTCCCCTCTGAACAGTTGATCTTGATGTGTCTGTTGAACTCTGTGAAGCATTTATTTAGGCTGCAATTTCTGAGGCTGGTAACTCTAATGAACTTATGCAGCAGAGGTAACTCTGGGTCTTCCATTCCTGTGGCGGTCCTCATGAGAGCCAGTTTCATCATTGATGGTTTTTGCGACTGCACTTGAAGAAACGTTCAAAGTTCTTGAAATGTTCAGTATTGACTGACTTAGTCTTAAATGTCTTAAAGTAATGATGGACTGTTGTTTCTCTTTGCTTATTTGAGCTGTCCTTGCCATAATATGGACTTGGTCTTTTACCAAATAGGGCCATCTTCTGTATACCACCCCTACCTTGTCACAACACAACTGATTGGCTCAAACGCATTAAGAAGGAAATAAATTCCACAAATAAACTTTTAATAAGGCACACCTGTTAATTGAAATGCATTCCAGGTGACTACCTCATGAAGCTGGTTGAGAGAATGCCAAGTGTGCGAAGCTGTTATCAAGGCAAAGGGTGGCTATTTGAAGAATCTCAAATATATTTTGATTTGTTTAACTCTTTTTTTTTTTGGTTACTACATGATTCCATGTGTTATTTCATAGTTTTGATGTCTTCACTATTATTCTACAATGTAAGAAAATATATATAGTAAAAATAAAGAAAAACCCTTGAATGAGTAGGTGTCCAAACTTTTGACTGGCAGTGTATATAACCTGATGGTTCAGTAGGCCTAGACTCTGACCTGGTATCCTCTCTGTATGTTCCCTCTCCAGGAGGATATAACCGGGAGGAGTGCCTCAGGACGGTGGAGTGTTACGACCCCAAAGAGGACCGCTGGACCTTCACCGCCCCCATGCGGACTGCCAGGGCTCGCTTCCAGATGGCCGTGCTCACGGTACCACACACCCCTGTCCTTTGGACTCGCATTTCATATGATTGACAGGTGCCTGTCTGACTCGGACCTATCAGGAGTTGTCTGACTTAAACCCGCCTCTTTGTCTCCTCTCATCTCTCATAGGGTCAGCTGTACGTGATGGGTGGCTCCAACGGCCACTCAGACGAGCTGAGCTGTGGGGAGACGTACGATCCACACACTGACACGTGGGCTCAGGTGCCAGAGCTCCGGACCAATCGCTGCAACGCAGGTGTCTGCTCGTTGAACAATAAGCTGTTTGTGGTGGGAGGGTCAGACCCCTGTGGGCAGAAAGGACTGAAGAACTGTGACGCTTTTGACCCTGTGACCAAGACCTGGAACAACTGTGCCCCCCTCAACATCAGTAAGTACCTATACCACACATACACTTCCCTACGTATTTATTTTAATTTGGATCTATACTCCAGCATTTTTTTAAATTTGAGATCAAATGTTTTATATGAGGTGACAGTACAGAATGTCACGATTATTTGAGGGAATTTCCACTTGGATGTAGAAGTGTTCGGAAACATTCTGTTCTTATTTACAATAAGTGACTCCAAAATGACACAAATTATTTACCATTCATTGGGCACAACGTAATCCGAAACACTACCAAAACAAACTGAAAATAAATCACAATATTGTAGTCATTGCATGCTAGGAAAATGGGACCAAATACTAAACTTTTGACTAAATTGAGTACACTAAGTGAATTTGTGAAAATATTTGACATCTAAAGGGGGGGGGGACAAGATACATAAAGTGCATTAGTTTCTAAACGGTAAAACAGATATGTATGAAAATACCCTCAAATAAAAGGCTACATTCTGTACTGTCACCTCATATAAAACATTTGATATCAAATCCAAAATGCTGGAGTATAGAGCCAAATTAAAAGTTTTAGCTTCATTGTTCAAATACGATTGTACTACACACATACTGTACCAATACTACACACACACTACACACTGAGCAAAAAGGGTTCCAGATAATACCAAAAAGGGGTTCTTTGATCTGTCACCAGGGCCGAATGCTTTAGTAATTGTGCTTATGTACAGTGCATTCGGAAAGTATTCAGACCCCTTGTATTTTTCCACATTTTGTTACGTTACTGCCTTATTCTAAAATGGATTAAATTTGTTTTTTTTTCCCTCATCAATCTACACACTAACCCATAATGACAAAGCAAAAACAGGTTTTTAGAAATGTTTGCAAATGTATAAAAAATTAAATATCACATTTTCATAAATAAGACTCAGTACTTTGTTGAAGCACCTTTGGCAGTGAGTACAAGTCTTCTTGGGTATGACTCTACAAGCTTGGCACACCTGTATTTGGAGTTTATCCCATTCTTCTCTGCAGATCCTCTCAAGCTCTGTCAGGTTGGATGGGGAGCGTCTCTGCATAGCTATTTTCAGGTCTCCAGAGATGTTCGATCAGGTTCAAGTCCGGGCTCTGGCTGGACCACTCAAGGAAATTCAGAGACTTGTCCCGAAGCCACTCCTGCGGTGTCTTTGCTGTGTGCTCAGTCTGAGGTCCTGAGCGGTCTGGAGCAGGTTTTCATCAAGGATCTTTGTCCTTTGTTCCGTTCATCTTTCCCTTCATCCTGATTAGTCTCCCAGTCCTTGCAGCTGAAAAACATCCCCACAGCATGATGCTGCCACCACCATTCTTCACCGTAGGGATGGTGCCAGGTTTCCTCCAGATGTGACGCTTGGCATTCAGGCCAAAGCGTTCAATCTTGGTTTCATCAGACCAGAGAATCTTGTTTCTCATGGTCTGAGTCCATTAGGTGCCTTTTGGCAAACACCAAGCTTGCCGCCATTTGCCTTTTACCGAGGAGTGGCTTCCGTCTGGCCACTCTACCATAAAGGCCTGATTGGTGAAGTGCTGCAGAGATGGTTGTCCTTCTGGAAGGTTCCCCAATCTCCACAGAGGAACTCTGGAGCTCGCCTCCCTGACCAAGGCCCCGATTGCTCAGTTTGGCCGGGCGGCCAGCTCTAGGAAGAGTCTTGGTGGTTCCATACTTAATCCATTTAAGAATGATGGAGGCCACTGTGTTCTTGGGGACCTTCAATGCTGCAGAAATGTTTTGGCACCCTTGCCCAGATCTGTGCCTCGACACAATCCTGTCTCGGAGCTCTACGGACAATTCCTTCGGCCTCATGGCTTGGTTTTTGCTCTGACGTGCACTCTCAACTGTGGGACCTTATATAGACAGGTGTGTGCCTTTCCAAATCATGTCCAATCAATGTAATTTACCACAGGTGAACTCCAAGTTGTAGAAACATCTCAAGGATGATCAATGGAAACAGGATGCACCTGAGCTCAATTTCGAGTCTCATAGCAAAGGGTCTGAATATTTATGTAAATAAGGTATTTTATATATATAAATACTGCTCAAAAAAATAAAGGGAACACTTAAACAACACAATGTAACTCCAAGTCAGTCACACTTCTGTGAAATCAAACTGTCCACTTAGGAAGCAACACTGATTGACAGAAAATTTTAACATGCTGTTGTGCAAATGGAATAGACAACAGGTGGAAATTATGGGCAATTAGTAAGACACCCCCAATGAAGGACTGGTTTTGCAGGTGGTGACCACAGACCACTTCTCAGTTCCTATGCTTCCTGGCTGATGTTTTGGTCACTTTTAAATGCTGGCGGTGCTTTCACTCTAGTGGTAGCATGAGACGGAGTCTACAACCCACACAAGTGGCTCAGGTAGTGCAGCTCATCCAGGATGGCACATCAATGTGAGCTGTGGCAAGAAGGTTTGCTGTGTCTGTCAGCGTAGGGTCCAGAGCATGGAGGCGCTACCAGGAGACAGGCCAGTACATCAGGAGACGTGGAGGAGGCCGTAGGAGGGCAACAACCCAGCAGCAGGACTGCTACCCCCGCCTTTGTGCAAGGAGGAGCAGGAGGAGCACTGCCAGAGCCCTGCAAAATGACCTCCAGCAGGCCACAAATGTGCATGTGTCTGCTCAAACGGTCAGAAACAGACTCCATGAGGGTGGTATGAGGGCCCGACGTCCACAGGTGGGGGTTGTGCTTACAGCCCAACACCGTGCAGGACGTTTGGCATTTGCCAGAGAACACCAAGAACATCCTCCAGCATGACCGGTTTGGCGGTGGGTCAGTCATGGTGTGGGGTGGCATTTCTTTGGGGGGCCGCACAGCCCTCCATGTGCTCGCCGGAGGTAGCCTGACTGCCATTAGGTACCGAGATGAGATCCTCAGACCCCTTGTGAGACCATCTGCTGGTGCGGTTGGCCCTGGGTTCCTCCTAATGCAAGACAATGCTAGACCTCATGTGGCTGGAGTGTGTCAGCAGTTCCTGCAAGAGGAAGGCATTGATGCTATGGACTGGCCCGCCCGTTCCCCAGACCTGAATCCAATTGAGCACATCTGGGACATCATGTCTCGCTCCATCCACCAACGCCACGTTGCACCACAGACTGTCCAGGAGTTGGCGGATGCTTTAGTCCAGGTCTGGGAGGAGATCCCTCAGGAGACCATCCGCCACCTCATCAGGAGCATGCCCAGGCGTTGTAGGGAGGTCATACAGGCACGTGGAGGCCACACACACTACTGAGCCTCATTTTGACTTGTTTTAAGGACATTACATCGAAGTTGGATCAGCCTGTAGTGTGGTTTTCCACTTTAATTTTGAGGGTGACTCCAAATCCAGACCTCCATGGGTTGATACATTTGATTTCCATTGATAATTTTTGTGATTTTGTTGTCAGCACATTCAACTATGTAAAGAAAAAAGTATTTAATAAGATTATTTCATTCATTCAGATCTAGGATGTGTTATTTTAGTGTTCCCTTTATTTTTTTGAGCAGTGTATATATATATATTTGCAAAAATGCCTAAACCTGTTTTCGCTTTGTCATTATGGGGTATCGTGTGTAGATTGATGAGGGGGGAAAAAACTACATTTTAAGCTATTTTAGAATAAGGCTGTAACGTAACAAAATGTGGAAAAAGTAAAGGGGTCTGAATACTTTCCGAATGCACTGTATTGCACATACTGTATTAGTTAAGAACTGGAACAGCTTTGAGTTGGTCTGTGAATGTGAAAAGTGAGTAATGTGTAGTGTTAACCTTGTCTGTTCTCCTAGAGAGGCACCAGGCTGCGGTATGTGAGCTGGATGGCTTCATGTACGTGATTGGAGGTGCTGAGTCGTGGAACTGCCTGAACACAGTGGAGCGCTACAACCCTGAGAATAACACCTGGACCCTTATCACCCCCATGAACGTTGCTCGCAGGGGGGCTGGGGTGGCCGTCTACGATGGTAAGGGACTACTCCATAGAAATGGAGCATTCTAATTCTATGGTCTGCTATTAACTGGGGCGGACTCGAGGGGATTACCATGTACAGTGGGGAGAACAAGTATTTGATACACTGCCGATTTTGCATGTTTTCCTACTTACAAAGCATGTAGAGGTCTGTAATTTTTATCATAGGTAAACTGTGAGAGACGGAATCTAAAACAAAAATCCAGAAAATCACATTGTATGATTTTTAATTAATTAATTTGCATTTTATTGCATGACATAAGTATTTGATACATCAGAAAAGCAGAACTTAATATTTGGTACAGAAACCTTTGTTTGCAATTACAGAGATCATACGTTTCCTGTAGGTCTTGACCAGGTTTGCACACACTGCAGCAGGGATTTTGGCCCACTCCTCCATACATACCTTCTCCAGATCCTTCAGGTTTCGGGGCTGTCGCTGGGCAATACAGACTTTCAGCTCCCTCCAAAGATTTTCTATTGGGTTCAGGTCTGGAGACTGGCTAGGCCACTCCAGGACCTTGAGATGCTTCTTACGGAGCCACTCCTTAGTTGCCCTAGCTGTGTGTTTCGGGTCGTTGTCATGCTGGAAGACCCAGCCACGACCCATCTTCAATGCTCTTACTGAGGGAAGGAGGTTGTTGGCCAAGATCTCGCATTACATGGCCCCATCCATCCTCCCCTCAATACGGTACAGTCGTCCTGTCCCCTTTGCAGAAAAGCATCCCCAAAGAATGATGTTTCCACCTCCATGCTTCACGGTTGGGATGGTGTTCTTGGGGTTGTACTCATCCTTCTTCTTCCTCCAAACACGGCGAGTGGAGTTTAGACCAAAAAGCTCTATTTTTGTCTCATCAGACCACATGACCTTCTCCCATTCCTCCTCTGGATCATCCAGATGGTCATTGACAAACTTCAGATGGGCCTGGACATGCGCTGGCTTGAGCAGGGGGACCTTGCGTGCACTGCAGGATTTTAATCCATGACGGCGTAGTGTGTTACTAATGGTTTTCTCTGAGACTGTGGTCCCAGCTCTCTTCAGGTCATTGACCAGGTCCTGCCGTGTAGTTTTGGGCTGATCCCTCACCTTCCTCATGATCATTGATGCCCCACGAGGTGAGATCTTGCATGGAGCCCCAGACCGAGGGTGATTGACCGTCATCTTGAACTTCTTCCATTTTCTAATAATTGCGCCAAAAGTTGTTGCCTTCTCACCAAGCTGCTTGCCTATTGTCCTGTAGACCATCCCAGCCTTGTGCAGGTCTACAATTTTATCCCTGATGTCCTTACACAGCTCTCTGGTCTTGGCCATTGTGGAGAGGTTGGAGTCTTGTTGATTGAGTGTGTGGACAGGTGTATTTTATACAGGTAACGAGTTCAAACAGGTGCAGTTAATACAGGTAATGAGTGGAGAACAGGAGGGCTTCTTAAAGAAAAACTAACAGGTCTGTGAGAGCTGGAATTCTTACTAGTTGGTAGGTGATCAAATACTTATGTCATGCAATAAAATGCAAATTAATTAATAAAAAATGATACAATGTGATTTTCTGGATTTTTGTTTTAGATTCCGTCTCTCACAGTTGATGTGTACCAATGATAAAAATTACAGACCTCTACATGCTTTGTAAGTAGGAAAACCTGCAAAATCGGCAGTGTATCAAATACTTGTTCTCCCCACTGTATAGTGTAATCAGTTCACAGGGTGGGAATGCAGTTTGCTGTGGTTGCAACCTTGGAATTTGGCAGAAATATCCAAAACAATACTCCTCAGATAAAATCTGATTTGTGCTGACCCTTCGCTCTCTCTTTCTCTCCTCTCTCTTATCTCCTTCTCTTCCCCTCTCTAGGGAAGCTCTTAGTGGTTGGTGGGTTCGATGGCTCCCATGCACTGCGCTGCGTAGAGGTGTATGACCCAGCCTGTAACAGGTGGAGGATGCTGGGTAGCATGACCGTGGCACGGAGCAATGCGGGTGTGGCCACGCTGGGTGACGTCATCTGCGCCGTGGGCGGCTTTGACGGAAACAACTTCCTGAACACGCTCGAGGTGTACAACCCTGAGACGGATGAGTGGAGTGACTGCGCCGAGGCCCTCTCCTCTTCCGCCTGAGAATCAGGGGTTAAGGTTGTGTTATGGGGGGTCCTAAACTAACATGCTTAGTGATGTAATCGTGTTTCATGATTTTATTTACGTGAGCGGGAGGGGAATCCTTTTTTTGGGGGGGGGGGGGGGGGGTTGCCACCGAAGGCAACATCAAGCCTTTGCATATTGCATACAATATTTTTCGTTCTGTATATATTTACATTTTTTCTTTTTCTTTTTTTTCTTAAGAATGCCAACATTTAATACATTTTTAGTGCAATTTAGTTTTTCTTTGTTGAAAGTTGTTTTCTGAGGGTTTACAGAGAAAAGGCTACTGTTTTGGTCACCTCAAGACTACCTTAGATTTACTGGTCTGATCAGAATAGGTGACTACTGGAAAACTTTGGGTTGACTTGTTTTAGGAAAGTTTTTTGTTTTGTTTGTTGAACTGTTATTTTAGCTCACACATTTAAAATCTGCAATTCTGAAGCCTTATTCAAAGAAAGAGGGTAACTCCCTTCATCATGGCTTTTTTGTGTCATTTAAACTAAAGCTGGATTGCTTGACGAATCTTGAACGCCTTTTTTATATTTTTATACACTGCTGATTTACCAATAGAGGAAGTAGTGGACGCACATGACTATTGAGTCATCAAACGGAACCAGTGCCAGTTTAGTAACGCCTAACACGCTTCTGTGCTTGTTCTGCTAACCAACTCTTTTGTTGCTGCATTTTGACTAATTTACTATTATAGAGATGCTGTTTTCTTGTGTTGAGTGTTTTAGAAGGGGTTCAGACATTTGGCTTCGATTTTCTTTTTTGAGTTTAGAATGATTCAATTGGAAAGTGCTGCATCACATTTGTAACAAGCTGATATTTCTTAACTAATAAACCATTTCAACCTGACGGTATGTCCTCTTGTAGTTTTCCAGGTCAATACAGTACTAGAACTAAGAGTCAGGTTTGACTGGTTTGTTAAAGTGGAGTGACTGTCAGCCTTTCGCTGTCTTTTAGGCAGCGTTGGGAAATTTCTACCCTGGGGTTCTAATGAAATAACGACCTGATTTATATACGTTCTATAAACTTTTCACCAATTGGACGTTGCAGCTCACTATTTATTCCACCAGGACACAATTACTGTCCCCAAATATAGCATTTCTCTCCCTTCCTTCTCTCTCTATCTTTCTCTCTCTCTACACAAGCAGAAACATCTGGCAGGTGATTAGCAGCATGGTCTCTGCAGCCGTCCAAGGCTGCTTTTTACACAGGCAACCAAATTCTGATCCTTTGCCTAATTATTGGCAAAATATCTGATCTGATTGGTCAGTAGACCAATTCGTGGAAAAATATCAGAATTGGGCTGCCTGTGTAAACGCAGCCTTAGCTCCTCTACCAGTTAGTTTCCACTGGGACCGGATTACCTACCTACCTCACTAAGGGCTGGATTCAATCCGTATTGCGGAAGATCTGCATAAAAATTTAAGGTAATTTTCGATTGAGCCGACATATGCAGCGTTTAGCGTGAATGCAGTCTCCGCGAACTGTGGGAACATTGCCTTTTAATTGTCAATTGCGCAATAAAGCAGATCTGAATAGAGCCCTAAATCCTTTCTCTGTTCCCATTAGTGTGTAATTTGAGAGGTTACAGTAAACGTAGTTTGCCTGCAGAGGAAGGAGTGAGGGAAGGATAGCGGGATCCAGTCAGTCTGGGTCACATGATCTCTAAAGGTTGGTGAACGGCGCAACAGCTGAGCTGCACCTGCAATCCATTGAATGACCCTGTCCTTGGACATTGGCTAACCTAACACGTCAGTCAAAGACCACTAATCCTTCCCCTCTACGTTCTGTCAATTCACAAAATAGCCTCCTATAATCTGTTACGAGTCTAACGGCACACCTGTCAATCACGTCGTGACCTGGCTGAGGGAAGTAGGCCACAGAAGGGTCGAGGGCAGCACTTCACTTTCTGCTGAGCGGTCGTAGCTTTTGGCCAGGCCATGTCAAACAATTACCTACCCATAGAAATAGAATTATAATTCTATGGAATTATAATTGTCTCATCTGCTCTAAAAATGAACAGTCAGAATTTTGTTTCACTGTGAATCAGACACATAGAGGCATGAGCTTTAGCTAGGATCAGGGTCCCACATGCTTTGTAAAAGCAAGGGGAGGTTTGGAATGAAACATGTTCTGTGACAAATGTTTCACTAACTGTAAGTAATTTTCTAATCTAGGCATAGATTCAGTCAGATCAAGCGTTAACCGGTAACAGCCAACACCTAGCTGCTCTTGTGATCATTGTCACGAAGCAACAACCGTCCTACTCGCGTTAGAAGTTCAGAACGAGAAATGGTAGGCTCTATAAAAATAATGATGCTCAAATTGAAAATCATTAACCCATAAGAGTCCAACTCATCCCAAATCATCTCAATTGGGTTGAGGTCGGGGGATTGTGGAGGCCAGGTCATCTGATGCAGCACTCCATCACTTTCCTTCTTTGTCAAATAGCCCTTACACAGCCTGGAGGTGTGTTTTGGGTCATTGTCCTGTTGAAAAACAAGTGATAGTCCCACTAAGCGCAAACCAGATGGGATGGCGTATCGCTGCAGAATGCTGTGGTAGCCATGCTGGTTAAGTGTGCCTTGAATTCGAAATAAATCACCAACAGTGTCACCAGCAAAGCACCCCGCACCATCACACCTCCTCCTTCATGCTTCACGGTGGGAACTACACATGCAGAGATCATCCGTTCACCTACTCTGCGTCTCACAAAGACAGTGGTTGGAATCAAAAATCTCAAATTTGGACTCATCAGACCAAAGGACAGATTTCCACCGGTCTAATGTCCATTGCTCTTGTTTCCAAGCAAGTCTCTTCTTATTATTTGTGTCCTTTAGTAGTGGTTTCTTTGCAGCAATTCGACCATGAAGGCCTGATTCTCGCGGTCTCCTCTGAACAGTTGATGTTGAGATGTGTCTGTTACTTGAACTCTGCAGCCCAAATAAATGCTTCACAATCTGAGGCTGGAAACTGTAATGAATTTATCCTCTACAGCAGAGGTAACTCTGGGTCTTCATTCCTGTGGCGGTCCTCATGAGAACCAGTTTCTTCATAGCGCTTGATGGTTTTTGCAACTGCACTTGAAGAAACATTCAAAGTTCTTGAAATTTTCCGTATTGACTGACCTTCATTTCTTAAAGTAATGATGGACTGTCGTTTCTCTTTGGTTATTTGAGCTGTTCTTGCCGTAATATGGACTTGGTCTTTTACCAAATAGGGCTATCTTCTGTATACCACCCCTACCTTGTCACAACACAACTGATTGGCTCAAACGCATTAAGGAAAGAAATTCCACACATTCACTTTTAACAAGGCACACCTGTTAATTGAAATGCATTCCAGGTGACTACCTCATGAAGCTGGATGAGAGAATGCCAAGAGTGTGCAAAGCTGTCATCAAGGCAAAGGGTGGCTACTTTGAAGAATCTCAAATATAAAGTATATTTTGATTTGTTTAACACTTTTTTGGTTACTACATGATTCCATATGTGTTATTTCATAGTTTTGATGTCTTCACTATTATTCTACAATGTAGAAAATAGTCAAAATACAGAAAAATCCTGGAATTAGTAGGTGTCCAAACTTTTGACTGGTACTGTATGTGTAAACATTCTATTCCAGTGTGAGGATAACAAACTGTTTGTAAAAAGGATCCACGTCCTCCATTAACATACTCTGTATAGAGATGGTGGGGAGATGGAGAGGTTTCTAGTAGCACAAAATGGCTACTGTTAGAAGCGCCAGAAGAGCCATGTTGGCTGCTCACTTCAATGCCCTCCCTCCTTCTCCACTTCTTTTGAGTGAGACAACAAACTCGAAAACCAATATCCACACACATGACAACAGTAGCTTCAAGTAAAGTCGTTGAGATGCGATATGATTAAAGGCCTCTGGTTGGATGTTCTGGTCCAAACTTCCCCCTAATCAGGGCCACGTGCTGTGTGACCTGCCGGGACGTGACCTCAGTGCAGTGCTCCAGACTGACGTTCAGCTCTGCCAACTCAGTCCCCCCCCACACACACACGCAACTTCTCCCTGTGAACACACACACTCAGACGTCAGAACCAAAACACACAAACACAGACCTGATCCAAAACACACATACAGAACAAAAAGACTGAACGACTGGGTCGCGTCTCTGGCATCCGAACCGATAGAACGAACGACCAGCCGGCTTGGGTAGGAACCCTAGATTTGTGTCGGGACTATATCTTGTGGAAGGATGAAATAGTATTAATCAAATTAAAGTTATTTGAATATGTTGGTAACACGTTGTATAAAAGTGATAATTCCCTCGAAGCCCCAGTGTTTGGAGGATATATTGGCACGGTTAACAACACCCGTGCCAGTATATCATCCAAACACTGGCTTCTCTGGCATTATCACTTAAATATACTTGTGTTCCCCCATGAACTTTTTTTTTAATATATTTTTTGTTTTACAAAAAGTGTATAATAAAAACGGTCCACGTTAAGTAGCAATGATATCCTTTGCCTCTGTTGTCTTACAAAAGATATCTTGAACCAGTCATGACTATTAAACAAAACAATACATAATTTTTAAGTTTCTTTCCAGCAAATGTCTTAGTTACATGATTATATAACTAGCAAAGGAGTTTTGAAGTTGAGGGTGCAGTATTTATGAAGTTTCGCAATGAGGATGGAAACTAGCATAGTTCAGCTAGCCAGCTAGTTTACCCAGGGAAAACGAGCTCGGGCATAGGGCGCACATGCGCATTACGCTAATTCAGGAGACTCGTTTTTTTTATGCCCTGATATCAGGAGCCAGCATTGAAAAGTTTGATTAAACATTCAGAGACTGAAACAAATAAATCAAATGATTTATATTTAAGTAGAGCAAATCGATATACAATCCCCAAAACAGCTGTAACTGTCAATAGTAACACAAAGCATAAAACGATGTTTGAGTGAACCCTGAATACAGAAAATGAATAGTGAATTCGTTTC